GCCGAAAGGATTTGGATTCGATGCTCCGAACTTTCGACAGAACGGTATCTATGTACAGTCTGGGAGAAGTTGTGGGAAAGAGTTTCGAAACGTCCACCTTTTCGGCCGGGATATTCGACATCCGAGGAGGTCGTCTGTCCATCGTCGGCGCAGGGATCGATCTGCATATTCCGAAAGGAGCGATCCCTCCGAGAACGACGAAGGAGATATACGTTTATGTCGACGAAGGGGCGCGATCGGAGATCGAAAACGAACGAGACACGTCGGTCCCGTCCGTCGTCGGGTGCGGTCCTCCGGGATCGTCTTTCGAGGAAGCGTTGACACTATCGTTTCCTCTCCGATTGGACACCGACCGACGGTGGACTGTTTCCTTGCTGAAACGAGATGATAAAGCGACGACGAAGTTTGGAGGGACGCCTGCCGAGTGCGAGGTCGTCAGTTGGGTGAAGATGGACCTATGTTTCGTCATGATCGATCGGTTCTCCGGATAATGGAGAAAATAAAAAGTAAAAACACACAAAGCATATTTTCTGTTTCATGCATTCTTTATTATTCTATTAACGATAATTTATTATATATTTTAACAAATTTTGTTCAACATCTGTACACACGCGTACCCTCTTCGATATCTCCGATCGGCAGACGTCTTTCCGTCGTCGTCCGGCACACCGGGCAACTTCCAAGTCGGTAAGAGCATCTTTTGCAGGAAACGTAATGATAACAAGGCGTCGTAACCACCTCGGCAACTCGTAGAAAACAGACCTTGCAGGCATCTCCAGAAGAAGGTTCCTCTTTACGTTTTCCTAAAAGTTCGTCTACGATCAAGCTGCATTTCGTTTCGACTTCGACGAATTCTCCGACGTAATTCGCGATGCGTTCGAAAGCATCTATCAGCCACTGTGCGCCGGTCCATTCGTCCGTACAGTAGTTTATCACTTTGACGCACGAACGGAAAAGTCTAGTTATTTCTCCGAAGAGATACTCCATTTGTCTGATGTCGATATCCACCTCATTCAACTTGCGAACGTCTATTCCGTTGGTCGATTCGCATTCCTTCCGCTTTCTTTTGACTTCCCGAATCAGACGAAATGTGTATCTTAACCGATCTTTTACATCCTCCATGTTGCTGCACATCGTGATATCATCATTGTGGAATTGTTGGTTAAACTAAAATATATTTTATATATATACACCCAAACACGCACACGCACCAACATATTCGAAGTTTGTTTCGTTTGTTTTTTATCTTTAATCATTAAATATTTTTTTTCAATGTTCCTTGTCCATCACGAGCTTGGCGAAAGAATCGATAAGACTTCTGAAAGCCTCGCGGTTTCGGTCGTCGTACAGGCCGTTCACTATGTCGGCCACGACATGTGTCCTTGACGTTTGCGCAGACGCATGTCCTTGACGTTTGCCTTCGTCGACCCGTAGCACAGATGCGACGGTCGACAGCGCCTGGAGTGTTCCTCCACGCACATCTCGCACCTCACGGGATCGTGCCGAACGACGTGACGTTCCATGATCTTTCCGCCGTGAGAGAACAGTTCCATCGACGTCAAGCCGCCGTACTTCCATCCGGCAGTCGTCCTGTAGAAGGTCTTGTTCGTCGAAAGCCAGCAACCGTTGACGGGAAACACCTTGCACGCCGTCAGTTTTGCCGTCATTTCCTTCAGCAGCTTCTCCGGTTGCCGTCCGGTTCTGATCGCGACAGTCGACACCGAAATCCTGTCCAGGACGGGGTCGTAGTACCGGTCGCCGAAATGAGCTCGGAGGGCGTAGTGCAACGACGCGTCGTAATCGACGGAGAGACAGGTCGGTACCGGCTCCGACGCGATGCGTGCCGACACCTCCGTTTCCGAGCGAACGGCCTCTTCGCCAACGTACGCTATCGTCTTCGTGTTCAGGATGCGCCACGCGGTCCTGTTTCCGGACGCGCGCCTGACGAGCGCGTGACATCCCATGGACACCACGTTCGAAAAGGACACGTTGCACCGGACTCCCCGTCGTTCGTCGAGAACCACAGCCTTCGACGGCCATCTATTTCGAGCGGGACGTCGTCATCGGAGGTCGGAGCTTCCATCGCGTACACAGCCTCAACGGGTGGCTTCCTGCCCAACAAGCCCATCGGAGCTTCCTCGGACGAAACGTATCGCGTCTACAGGACCGGCGGAAGATCCGCAGGGTTCAAGTATTGCCGAGGAAGATCGAGGGCCGGTCGTCTGACGTCTCTCGACGGACCGCGATATTCGGTCCGGGACATTTTGCAGACGTTGGAAAGTCGAAGACGAGGCGGAGTCACGTCAGACGACGTAAACGGTGTTTTCTCTGGACGCTGCGCAGTTATCGTTCGAGTATCATCGAAAAACAATAAAGAAAGACAGACTTTTAAAAAATTGAAAGCCACACACACCGGTTTATGGTTTTTTTTGTTCAAGTTTTATTTATTTATTCAATCATTCGTTCGTTCGTTGGTACGTACGTCTGGTTTTGGGTAATTTTTGGTAGTTTGCACACGAAAACCGTATCTGTTTCTCGAAGCGGGAGACGGAATAACTCTGGGGTCGAAATCGATCCGACAGATCGCATTCGACGAACACGACCGTGTCCCACACTTCCTCTCCTCGCTTTGAACTAGGTGGAAGACGTTCAGACAGTCTCTGATTAAAGTACCTTTGCATTTCTCGAAGCATCGACGACTTTGAAGGGGTCGTCGACACGGTTCCATTCTCTCCGGGAACGTCCTACGAAGAAGATCGGTGTCGCCGAAATGGTTTACGAATTCGGCGAAGAGTTCCCTCATTCTGTCCTGCATCCATTTCAGTTGCAGGCGTCTCGCCTCTCGAGAGTCGGTTCGTTCGGTCGGCGGCATGTTAGTTACTGACCCGCAATACCTTGCGGGACCCGTTTTTGTCTTTTCGCCTTTCCGTGAACGAAGTTCGGCAGGATCCTCACGTCCTCTTGGTCAAGGTGCGTTCCGTAGTAAATTGACAATTCCAACGTAACCGCGTTTGGCAGAACGTCCGGTAAAGGCCGCAAGACGGGGAGGCGTCCCAGAACGTCGGACGGCGGACCGCACCTCGTCCGGTTCGCCCGCTCGTCCGAATCGACGATCGCGTTCAGTTGCTCGATGCGAAGGTC